GTCTGTCTCTCTCTCTCTCTCTCTCTCTCACACACACACACACACACACATACACACACACACACACACGAATTTGAGGGATAAATCACAACTCTACAGAAAGAATCTAGCAGAGGTCATCTTGTCCAGCCCCCTGCCTCTGGGCAGATAGGCTCTGGCCTTACCTCGCTCTCCCTGCCTCCTCTACCGGTGTCCATGTGGGCATAGCAGGGGAAACGCATCATTCTGACAGCGCTGGCCTTTGTTTGCCTTTGGGCTGTGCGCCTCGGGCTGGCCCCTCAGAAGCCCCTCACGTCCCTGGCCCCTCCCTGGCACATGGTTCTCTATCAGCTTCTCAGAGCACCTCTGGCTTTTATTTTCTCCCCACGAACATTATCTATTTGTCCAATTCATCCCAAAATAGCCAGGCCCAGCCATCCCATAATACCCAGATCCTGTGTCACTCAAAATTGGGGCCCGGCAGGAGCTCCGCGCTCTCCTTCCTGTCCCTTTCTCTTCTTTAATAAGCACACCTCGGGCTTCAGTCAATGTCTCTCCTCCAGATTCATGAGTTTGCTGCCTCTGCAGCAGCCCCACATCCCGACAGATAAATCTCCCCCAGAGCTGTCAGCACAGACAGGGGAACAGCACGGCCAGGTCCTCAGAGAGGCCACTGTGGAGACACCAGATTTATCACCCACCCTGTCCCCTAAGGTGTCACCTCCTTGACCTTCAGGATGAAACAGAGGTCAGTGTATTTTTTTATGTTTTTTTTTTTTTTTCTGTGAGGGACCTAGAAACCATAGGTGCTACCTCCCAAAATTCCCTCTCCCCCTTGTCCTTGGTGACAAATGAAGAGCTTGGTCCCCTTTGTCCTCAGTGGCCCACGGAAGGTTCTGGTCTTGGAACGTGGGAGGTGAGGGGCACTGGCTCCCCAAGGAAGAAGCCACAGTGCTGCTGGCCTTGCTGAGGATTCGCTCCCTGCAGGGAAACACACTGATTTCTGGCCCGCCCTCCAGGGTCATTGGGGGTTAATTTTAACTGCTTCCGTGTCCCTGGACGGGCCACACATTTTTCCTCCTTAGCCATGTCCAAGGCTCTCGTCTCGCGCAGCCTCAGCACCTTCCCAAGCGAAATTGAGACACGTGCTTATGACAGCGTGTCTCCATGAAGACAGATCGCTCTCCCTCCAAGGTCAAAGCTCCCGCTGGCCTGGCTCTTTGGCAAACGATTCGTCAAACAGGGCAGCGGGCAGCAGCCGGCTCTCAGGCCCCTGGCCGGTCGACTTGTCAAAACCTTTCAGAGGATTATTGTGCCCTGTAGAATTTTCCTCCTTCTATTGTCTGTCGGTGCCTCCCCTGGCATCCCCCCCCACCACCCCAAAACAGACGGAGGAGTTGGCATGATATCAAAAACCATGACAGGGACCCAGAAGGCAAAACAAATCTTCTGCAGAAATTAGGGAATTTCTCAGTCATTTTACGAGGCAAGAGCCGTGGTCCCTTGTGAGGTTGGAAAAAAACAGAACAATAAAGATGTTGCCTCCTGGGCCTGTCCATGAACTCGTTTGTCTCACACACTAACGAGGAGGGTCTGGGCCTTGTCCTCTGCCAGCCTGGAGCACAGTGGCTGGCCCACAGTGGGGACTCCTTTATTTGGGTGCTTTTTGCATATTTATTAAGCTCCAACTCCGACTGTTGGTCTGGCCTCTGATCCCTGCCCTCCTAGAGCTTCCTGTCTTGGAGATGGTGTCAGTCTTTAAAGTAGTAAGGAAACAATGAACCCAGGGAAGTGTCACAAAGGTTATTCTGATGGACAGCTCCAACTGGGCACCCAGGGATTCTGCTTCTCTTCAGTCCGACCCTTCTGGAACGTTCTCTTCTTCAGTGTGGGCTGGAGGTACTGATTCACCTCTAAACAAAAGAACATGAAAAAAGTGATGGATTGCTATTTCCAAGATGAGAAAAGTGACTTTTTTTTTTTTTTTTGCTTGTTACCAACCTCTGTCTCAGACCCCACTCTGTGGAAGCAGCTGCTATTGTGTGCCTAGACCCATAGGAGGCCCATGTGGTAAGTGGCACCTGGGAGGAACTGAGGCCCGTCAATGGTCTTGTGAGCTTGCAGTGGATAAGCCCCATTTGAACTTTGAGATGACCACAGCTTCGGTCAACATTTGATTCCAGCCTGTGAAAGACACTGAGGAGAAGACCCAGGTAAGCCGAGCTAGGATCCTTGACGCCATAGAAACTTGAAGATCGTGAAACGTTTGTTGATAAGCTACTTAATTTGGGGATAAGTTCTTTACACAGGAATAGAGTAACAGTGTAGATATCCAGTGGAGTTTTCTGGTAAAGATTTACCACTAATTAAGTGGGTTGGCCGGGAGAGGACTCACTGAAGGTATAATGTTAAAGGAGTAGATTGAAGGTAAGTTGGACCAGTCACCCCCAAAGCCAATCCCAATAGCATTCTAGGCAGAAGGAACAACATGTGATTTGAGTCAACTTTTCATCACTGTGACCAGAAGAACCAACAACAACAACTTAGAGGAGGGAAAGCTGATTTTGGCTCATGGTTTCAGAGGTTCTGTCCATGGTTGGCTGACTCCACAGCTCTGGCCCAAGATGAGGCAGAATATCATGGCAGGAGGTCAAGGCAGGGGAAAGTGGCTCAGGACATGGCACCCAGGAAACAGAGAGAGAATTCTGCTCACCAGAACGCGGACAAAATACAAACCCCAAAGACACATCCCCAGTGACCTACTTCCTCTAGCCATACCCTACCTACCTGCCTACAGGTAGTGCCAAGTTAATTCATATTAGTGGATTCACCCACGGATTAGGTTAGGCCTCTCATAATCTAAATCATTTCACCTCTGAGCATTCTTGCATTCTTTCACGTGAATTTTTTTGGGGACACATCCTATCTAAACCATAACAATGTCCAAAGACTCTTAGGCAAGAAAGAAGTTGGAATATATTTTAAGAGTTGTGGCTGGAGTGTGGTACCTGGATGCTATGCCAGCCCTTTTATTTTCACAGTCTTTATTTCTGAACTCAGCTTTGAAAAGTGAACATTATTACCCTATAAAGTTGCTAGGAACACTGAGGCAGAGAGACTTCAGACACTAACTAGCCTGAGGTCACACAGCTAGAAAGGGGTAGGGATTGAATTCAAGGGTAGATGTTTCTGATCTAAAACCTGCCTGATTATTGTACTTCTTAACACACGTGACTTTATTCAAACATTTAGCAGCCCCTGCCTCCTTCTATGTTTTCAATGCACATGGGTCCTATTCTGAAATACTTGCTATCTGCAGGGAGAGAGAGGCTGACTGTCAACATTTTTTTTTTCAATACTAGGGATTGAACCCAGAGTATTCTACCACTGAGCCACATCCACACCTTTGAATTTTTTTTTTTAATTTTGAGATAAGATCTCACTAAATTGCTGAGACTGGTCTCAAGTTTGTGATCCTCCTGCCTTAAACTCCCAGGATACTGGAATTATAGGTGTGAGCCACCACACCCAGTCAGTCAACATTTTAAAAGCGGTTTATTCATTCATTCCCCATAAAACTCTTACCCCGGGGGGGAGGGAGATATTATTATTTTTTTATTAGATTTTGTTGGTCACTATGACCAAAACACCCAACGAGAACAATTTTTTTTTGTGGGGGCAGGCAGGTTTATTTGGGGCTTATAGTTCCAGAGATCTCAGATGGCCAGTCCCATTGCCCTGGGCCCAAGGTGGAGGAAGGGCTTCTCAAAGGAAAATGGCTTAGCTCTTGGTGGGGTCAGGAAGCAGAGAGAGAGAGAGAAGGGGGATGGGGCTACAGGGAAAATATACCCCTCCAGGGCATGCTCCTCTGGCCACAACCTCACCTTCTTACGTTACCACCCAGCCATTTAAAGTAGGATGGACTGATTGGGCTAAAACTTATAATGTAATTATTTACTTCTGAATATTCCTGCCTCAATACAGGAGCTCTGGGGGGACATGTCACATCTAAACTATGACACATGGCACCCATTTATTATGGCCATTTCAAGATTTGGAAAGTGAAGTTCAGAAAAGATAAATAACCAGCATAATGGAATATTTTAGTAAGGAACAAAATGAGATCCTGACTCCAGGGCCTGTGATCTTCATACCCTTTCTTCCATCCCATATGACCCTGGGGTCCTAATATTCATAGGATGTCTCTAAGAGAGATGGAGAATCCTCTCTAAAGTCCAGAGCATTCCCTTTAGAACCCAGCTCTTGAATCACATTGGATTTTTATAGATCACTGTTGCTTAAATTGGGGCACATGTGTATATGGCAATTCTTAAAAAACAGCTGAATATGGAGTAATTATTTATGATACATGAAAGTCTTTAACTTTACAGATTTACCATTGGTTTTTCTTTTAAAAAACTAGACTTTCTGATCTATTACTCTTAAGAACTTGAGGAATGACCAAAATTTTCAGTGCTGTTTATATTTCTCAAAACGAGCAATTTACCTTATATGACGTAAGTCCTACTACCCTTTTAGTCTTCATTTACACGTGACTTCCTTAGAAAGGCATCTGATTTTTGGACTCAAATTGAGTTTACCCTGTTGTGCTTTCACACATCCCCCCATGAATCTCCTTCTCAGCTCCTGCCACGATAGGTAAAGACGTGTTCACTCAGGTGTCCATTTATTCAATGTCTGTCTCCCACACTGAGCTCTAAGCCTTATGGGCAGAGCAGGTCTGATTGGAATTTACTGGTGAATCTAGCACAGTTCAGGGACAAAGGAAACGTCCTTCTTGCCCTTCAAAGTTTTCATAGTCCTGTCTGCTAATCAAACTGACAATAGATTAACAGGAGAAAAAGGCATACAAATTTGTTTATGTGAAAGCATGTGGGAGTCACACAACGTATGAAACTCAGAAGGGCCAGATGGTGGAAGCTTAAGGAATTTTCTGAGCCACAGGAAGAAATAGGGGATTGGAGTTTCTTGGGGGGAAGTGGTGACAGAAATGAATAGGAGTATGGGGTCCACAGTGGAAGATACAGACCATGGGAGAGTGAAGGGAGAAAATGTGTGACAGAAGCTGTCTTGCCATGCAAATACGGTCTCTTAGGTAATAGCCCCAGAAGATTGATTATCTGGCTGCTGTGAGTTCCAAGAGGTATCAGGGAGGGGATGCAAAACATTGCTTTTCTTCTGGAGGAACTCCCTTAGTGAGACAAAGGAACTTCAGAGAAGGTTCTTCCCTGTGCTTCTCTTAGGGAGGTAAAGAGGATGACGAGATGGGTGTGGGCATGAAGGATGGTCAGAGAGATTCTGAGTCTGCGTCTTTAGTTCAAGGCGTGCCCAATGCCCTACTTTGGGCTATTATTTTCTGAGCCCCCTCAACAGTGTTTGGGACATGGTAAGGATCCAGTGAATTTTTTGTTGAATTAGACAATGTGATTTGATGGTTCTGGGTGTATAGTTCAGTGGTAAAGTAGTTCCCTATCATGCACCAGACCCTCGGTTCAATCTGTAGCACAAGGGTTGGGGTAGGAGATAGAAATGATGGAATCAGACCTAACAAAAACAATCACATTGCTGAAATATGGGCACCTGGAAGATGGAAGGAATATATTTGGAGTAGAAGTGACATTGTCCTGGAGCAACGTGAATATAACAACGACCACAGTAATAACTGTGGTTCATATTTATTGAGTACTTACTATGTTTCTGTGTTTTTATTTCTAAATATGGAATGCTTCAGACATTTATATGTCCTCGAAAGAGACCATGTTAAACTCCTCTGTAGGCACTGAGTTCCAGCTCGTGACTTAGAGACGGTTACTTTGCACATAGGTAGCCTCACGTGTGAGTGACAAGTTGACCAACTTGTCCTGGTTTGCCTGAGAGCGTCTAGCTTTAAAACTGAAAATCCAGGCTTCTAGGAACTGTCCCTCAGGCTCAGTCAGATAGAATGGTTAGCCCTCTCAGCAAGCGAAAGTACTCAGTGGACTGCGGCCAAAAGAAAAGGATTTATAAGAGAGAAGGGAGAGAGGATAAATGGGGAAAAAACAGCGGAGAATCTGGGAGCAGTGAATCTTGTTGGCATTTGGCAGGGGTGTGCGTGTGTCAGATAAACTGATGAGCTAGCACCTAGAAAAGAGGCCAGGCTGTGCATTCTGTCCTTGAGCAGAACAGAGGGGATATTGAAGAAGACTATTTTAATTGTTGATGGTTTCTCCGGAAAAACCTTGGGTTTGGCCGTGCAGCGTGTGTGGCGGGCTGCTCTGTGATACGTTGCCTGCCTCAGGTGGAACTTCCTTGGGGGTGCTCTCTCTGTTCGCCCATGGTGTTGGCAGAAGAGGGTCGCCTGGTTCTTAATGAAGATTCCAGGTACAAGCTCTTGGCTACAGGAACCCTGGTGTTGCAGACAAAGAAGGGTGAAAACCAACTTCTCAATGACTCAAAAACACATCTGGGCCCTTAAGGATGAGGGAAATTCCTGGATGTAATAAAACATCATCTCATTCTTGTGTGCCCCCCCCACCCCCGTCGGTACCACCCAACTCTCACCTTTTGGAAGAATGCCTTGTATAGAGGGGGAGGTGGGAGCAGGAGAGCTGGGTTCTTCATTCTTGGCGCCAACCACTCAAATCCATTCCCTTCATTTTAATTGACAAATTAAAATTGTATATATTTATGGAGTAAAAAGTGGTATTATGGTTGCTGAATACAGTGTGGGCTGATTAAACCAAGCTAATTAACATTTCCTCAAAATTTCAACATATTTTTTGGTAATCGGAACATTTGTAATTTATTCTTAGAAAAATTTAAATGTACAATACTCAGTTTTTAGCTATATTCACCATACTGTGCGATTGATCTGAGACAAAGAGAAAATAGGAAAGGGAAAAAATAAATCAAATGTATTCCTCCTGAGCTTTTTGCACCCTTTGACTATCATCCCTTCATTTTCCCCTCTCCCCCAGCCCCTGGTAACTGCCTTTCTGTTCCCTGTTTCTGTGAGTTTGATCATGGGTTCATCTATAGACAAGAACAGGCAGTATTTGCCTTTCAATGTGTGGCTTATTGTACTCAGCACAAAGTTCTCCAATTCCACCTGTGTTGTTGCAAATGACAGAATCTTTCTCTTTTAAAGTCAAGTCGTACTCCATTGTGTATAGATGCCACATTTTCTTCATCATTCACTCCTCAATGGACACAGGCTGATTCCAGAGCTTGGCAACTGGGCCCAGTGTGAATCAGCACGGGGATGCAGGTAGCTCTTCAACATGCCAGTTTCAAACGTTCATTCCCTCCTTCACTCTTGCATGTGTTTATTTATTCATCTACTCAAGATTCCTTTATTTTCACATATTCCCAGCTTCCCTTATTCCTTGTGCTCATTTCCTGCTTGTTCTTGTGTTTCCTATGGGCTCAGATTGCACCGAGTGTTCTGACCCAGAAGCAGCCCATGACTTAGGGAGCTCACCTTCCCGTAGGGTGATGGATCTATCCCTCACAATCTTATCTATGGCAGCATGGCAGGGTTCTGATGCGGGCCCTGGAGAGATGCCCATTTGGGAACACAGGTCACAGCAGCTCCAGGAAGGCATCCTAAATGCTCTGTGGACTCACTGGAATCCTCGTAGAGGAGTCCACGGGCCTTCTGGCTATGCAACTGGGCACCATGTCCTGGTGGGAAGCTAATACTACTGCTGCCCCCAGGGTGATTTCCTCCTTGCTGAGTCATACAAGGAAGGTCAATTCTTCACTTCCTGTTTTTGTTTTTGTCTTCTGCAGTTCTGGGGACTGAACCCAGTGGTGCTCTACCACTGAACTTCATCCCCAACCCTTCTTCTTTTTTATTTTTAGGACAGGCTCAAGCTGGCCTCCAATTTGCAATCCTCCTACTTCAGCCCCCCTGAGTCACTGGGATTACAGGCACGTGACACCGAGCCTGGACTTACCTCTTGTTTTCATTGACAGTGTTTAAAAGGTGATGAGAGGCCAGATGGGATGTGATTGTATGGGCATGTATGCCTCTACAGAGCTCCAAGAATGTGGGTGCTCCAGATGTAAGACTCCACTTCCACCAAGTTTCTCAAGATAACTTACAGGAAACAAACCCAAGAGGATGTCCAGGGACCAAGCTACACCATTCCCAGGAAGACTGGCCAAGGCCAGGTGTCCCATTTTCCTCCGCCCTAGGAAGCCTTCAGCTGTACTGCAGACTAGCTCTGGGCCTGGCGTAGTGGGAGACCTTCCCCTCGAGTTGGGGAAGAAGCAACCTCTCAGTCCCTGCTTTTGAGGTTCCAGAAAATAAACATGAAGCACAAAAATTACCCACACTTGTGTACCTTGTGCAAAGCGCTTTATCATTTATCCAAACTTTTAAAAATGCTGTTTTCATTTTGAACCTCCCTTAGGCTGAGTGGGGAGGGGGGATATTATTATTTTCTTTTAACAGATGAGGAGAGTCACGCAGCCCATGGTAAGCAGAATTAGGGTTTGAACTCACACCTGTTTGACTCCAAATGTGTGTGAACTTGCACCCTCATGTGTGATAGGTAAGAGCCAGTTTAGGTTCTTCTTAGGTAGGAGGGATTTGGGAAACAGGGGTGGTCGCTGTGGCTGGGCATAGTCAGAGGCAGCTTCTTCCTTGGATTGTGGAAGAACTGGTCATGAATGGATCCCTTCTTTCACCTCCCAGCATCCTTAATGAAGCAGGGAATGGGTTCCACCTGCTAGCCCTCACGTCTGCCTGCAGAACGGGAAGCATATCTTTTTTTCCTTAGTAACATTGAGAGCTGGGCATGAGACCTAAATGGCTCAGAGAATTTAATCATTCAATAGACAGCTTTGCCTAAGAGCAGAAATAAGAACTGACACGGAGTCCTCTCTATGGGTAAATATAATTAACCTGACTATTATATGCTAAATCCTCCCTAAACCCCTTTGGCTCAGGCAGCTAAAGGAACCTGCTGGCTTTTGGTGACTCTCAAAACCAAGAACCTTTGCTGGGGCCATGGTAATCTGATTTATTTCAGAAACAAGCCAGCATTACAAGGCTAGGTTTGCAATTTCAATATGCAGAGATTAATTTACATGCAGAGCTAATTAGGCAACTTGAAACACCCACTAATTGATTATTACATGAAAAAGAACACATCAATTTGGAGAAATACACTTGATAAGGTCGTACAATATTTGCAAACTTAATTGCCAAGTGGAAATTCCTCTTCTAGTGGTTAATAAATTTAACCAATTAACCTTTGCTAGAGTGGTCTTTTAGCTCCTAGAGTCCAGCAGCACTGGTAGGGGACGCTTTGGTCTCTGCCTTTGCAAGTGCAAAGTCAGAAAAGACAGTACCACAGCTGATTTCTGCACTTAGCACAGGCCTGATTCATAGTGGGAACTCGTGATAAATGCTTAAGAGTCCAGAGTCTACAACAGTTATCTCCCACTTAATTTTTATGATAAGAATTTCATAGGATGATCCTCCTGGAAGACATTATTATCCTCAATTTAAAGAGCTTTATGGCATTCACAGAAGTACAGTAAATACTACATTGTCACAAAGCTAGCAAAGTGGTCGGGGTTGGGTTTTGAATATAGGTCTTCAGATCCCAGGTTTAATGCTTTCCCCCTTTATCTAATCCATTCATTTATCCACGTCCCTTTTAGGCTCCATCCTGTGTCCCATTAAACAAGCTATCTGTGTAGGCAGAACAAGCGTTCATCCATGGCACAGGAAGTGGAGGCTCCAAAAGACCTTCAACTTCAAAGTGGTACCCCTCCACCGGTTGCCACAGTTCTGGATTCTTGCCTCCGAGAGTGACTTCTATGAACAAAGGAGGAGGAGAGTTGGGTCTTTGTAAATCCTGTGCTAAAATGCACAGGAATCCAAGGGTATGGGACATGGGAGAGGCAAAGTTTGGGCAGGGAAGGCAGATGGCATAATCTATGGGTTGATGTCCCAGGAATGAAAAGCGCTGATGGATGGAGTAGGGGTTCTCTCTTGCTAGGAGCAGCACAAGGACATGGGTACATGAAAACATTTTGAGATCAAAAGCACAGACGTTATGGGAATAGGGTCATGGGAAGAGTGTATTGTTAAGCATCAAGTGTGGGGCACAGGGACAGTTGTGCAATGCCTGCAGCACTTCTGTCCCCTAAACTGCAAAGTGGGAGTCAACATGCCACTTTTCCAGGCATGTGTGAAGCTGAAGTGAGCCAGCATGCAGAGAGCTCTTAGCATGGCACTAGGTGCTCAAGGCTGGCTCTCAATTGCTGCTGTTGAGGTCCCAGAAGCCTCATCCCCAAAGCCAGATTAGAGAGGCAGGAGTCATACATTACAGTCTAAGTCAGCTGCTCACTCACTCTGGGACCTTAATAAATACCTTCCCTCCTTAGGCTTCAATTTTCTACTCTAAAATAAGGTAGTAGGAACAAACAATCTTTAAGAGACTCTATCTATCTCCAATTTATTTATTTACTGTTTATTTATTTATTTATCTACTGTTTTGCTCAACAATAACGTCTTAAGAGCCTACTGTGTGCCAAGTGCAATACTGGGCTATAGGGCCATGGCTTGGAGACACAAGGTCTCTGCTCCCAGAGAGCTGATGCTCTAGAGAAGGAAGCAGATGATATACAAGTACGTGAGATGATTTCACATAGCAGTGAGTCCTGTAAAGAAAAGAAAGAGGATCTGTATTCATCAAGCCTTTCATTTTCTTTCCCCTCCAAGATACAAAAATCAAGCTTAAGGACAAAATGCACAAAAAGCAGGTATATATTGGCAGGATTAGAGATTCTCACGAAGTCCAAGGAAGTGATGAATACCCAAACCTCAGTACTGGACAGGCAATGGGACCTCAGAAGCTGGCTTCCATGGGCTCTCCTTTCTAGAGGGCTACTACTTTACTCCACTGTGTCTGCACTTTACCTTGAGCTTCTTTCTCATTGTCGAGTCTGTTTCCCATGCCATGCAGTGGAAGATATGGTCAAAGGTCACATATTTCTCTACTGTGGTCCAAAAAGGACCTGTTATTTCTTTCTCTGTCACCATCCTCAATTCCCAAGGCCGAGATTCTGACTGGCCCACCTTGGGTCAGATGTCTACTGTGGTCCAATCAGCTAAAGGTTAAGCAGTGGGTATCCCATTGTACAAACATGGCTGCCAACCACATGAAGGGAAGGCAGGAGAACCCATTTCCAGACAGTGGAGGTGGGACCAGCCAGTCCAGCAGAAGTCCACTCTACAGATGAAGCAGACTTGTCATAACATCCAATTTGCTTTGGTGAGTTGAAGTAACTTTTCACATAAAAGGAAGTGGTGAAGCACGGCGGAAGGTTGTTCTGGATATGGAATCTGAAGACATGTGTTCTGATCTCAATTCTACCACTGACCTGATATGTGGCCTTAGATAAATCATTTACCCCCACTGAACCTCAGTTTCTTCAATGGAAAAGGGGGATAAAATTACTAGCGTTATCGAGAAGTTCAGATAAAAACCAGGATGAGAAGGTTGTTTTGAAAGTTCTGCAGTAAGATATAATTTTGTGACTTTCAGAGAAGTCAGAAAGCTTACTGGAGAACTCTGAAGAATTTCTTCCCACAGTTGGGGGGCCAGTTCTGCACAGCTGCATTATCTTGGGACCTGGCAGGGGGATGGTCAGGATAACCTGAGATCTTTCTTTAAGGAGGAAGCCTTGGAGTATCTTTTCCAAAGTTCTGATAGCTAGTGCCTTGGAACCCACCCACTCAAGCCCATCTTAAATTAAATGCAAGGCTTGAATATCACGTCCACATGGCAGCTTCTAATTAGCATTCCCATTTACTGGTATTCACATTTTATCTGGGGCTTCAAAACTGAATGCTCACCCAGAGTTCTAAGAACAACTGGAACCAACAGAAAGCAACTCCCAGAACTCAGCGGTAATTTAGATAAGCCTTCATTCACCCCCAGGAAGGAGGCCCATCTTCCATTCATTTGGATGTTTGGTGGGGTTTCTGCCTCCTTCCCCGGCTATTGTGCCTTTGAGTCTCTTCATCTGATTCACTATCAGAACATTTGCATTCATGTTTACAACTCGCATAGGTCATTCCCAGAATGCAGACTGTTGGCAGGTTTATAATTCTGCAAACACAGGCTGGCTGATAGACATGTCTCCCCCCCCACAGAGCAGCATGTAAATTTTCCTTAATAAATGGAGCCAAGCTGTTTGGTGCAATCATCAGCATGGGGATTCACAACCAGCAGGGAAGGGGGGGCTGCTCTAAGTCCCCCCAACGCACCCTGGCTCCCTACAGTGGAATTCCAACTTTCTTTCTATATGGGACTCTAAGGGCCTTGCTGAGCCAGAAACATGGAAGACTTTTGGACTCCTTTCCTCAATCCTGGGTCTCACTGACTCTTCTCTAGAGCATCTCTCACCTACACTTCACCCCAATGCCATCACCTTTTCTAGGCCACGGGTGTCTCTTATCTACATCACTGTATCAATTTCCTAACTGGTTGCCCTGCCTTTAATTCTTCCACATTTGATCATGTTACTCCCTTGTTTAAGTCCTGTGTGTCAACCACTATATTAGAATAGATGACATATAAATATACTCAAGTGCTGATGAGTATGCAGAGCACCTGGAACTCTCAGAGGTTGCTGGTGGGAAGGCAAAAACAACACGGCAATTCTGGAAAATGGTTTGGCATTTTCTTGAAAAGTTAAATGTACGCTTAACATATGATCCAGATATTCAACTCCTGGTTATTTTCCTTAGAGAACTGAAAATTTGCTTTCATACACAGACCTATACACAAATATTTATAGGTGCTCTATTTATAATTGCCCCAAACTAGGCAACAACACAAATCAGCTCCATCCAACATTCAATAAGAGAATAGGTGAACATCCATATGCTGGAATATTACACAGCAATAAAAAGATTCGGCATCCATACAGGCATACACATGAATAAATTTTAATGATATATTATGTGAAGAAAACCAGTCTCATCATGTTAAACATGATTCCATTTAAACAAAACAAACAGAAAGACAAAAGCCATAGTGGAGAACAGATTCGTGATTGGTAAGTATTAGGAATGGGAGAAAGATTTGACTACAAAGAGAGTTTTGTGAGGTCATGACACTACTCTGTGTCCTGTTGACGGTTATAGTTGCATGAATTTTTATGTATGTTAAAAATTTGTAGACTTATATAATAAAATACATAAATAAATTTTCTATATGATGATTTAAAAAATAAAAACTTACCCTTTGGGCAAAATTTTAAAATATTTGGAATGGCACTGGGGATTCTCAGGTGCAGCCCCTGACTCCCTCTCCTCTTTGGTCTTTGTGCCCTCGACCACATGATGTGGGGTCTTGCAGTTTGTGCCCCTTTGCTGATGCAGTGAACTCCGATTGGTCCTCGAAGGCTTTACTCAGTGCTGGTCTCCTTTGTGCACCCGTTGTCTTTCTGATTTCTCCCCACCACCAGATCTAAGCACACCCTTCTGTATCACTTCTCTCTCGTAAATTCTTTGACTTACCGTGTCTTCCACTTCATTCTAATGGCCTCTCTGTGCAGGGCACAACACTTTTGTCCTAGGGCCTTCTCTGACAAGGTAGGAGGAGCCAGGTTGGCCCAGGGTCCAGCAGAGCCCTGAAGCAGGTGGTCAGTTCCCAGGTGGGGGACCAACACTTAATCACACGAGGCAGGAGAAGGGCACAGATACTCTGCCGGGAAGCAGTTCAGGGTGGCAGCTCAGAGGTCCGGTGGACTGAGGTTGGTTGTCATGGCAGCGGTTATGACCACACTCCATTGTACTGCTATTTCCTCCTTCCTGAGCCACTCTACCCGCTCCTTCACTGCTGCTTCCTAATAAACCGTGTGCACCCTAATCCTTGTCTTGGGCTCCACTTTTGAGGGAAATCAATCTAACACAACTTCCTCTCTAGGGCAGCCAATAAATCTGGAGTTTTCTGAAAGAGGCATTTTCCCAACCGAGCTCAGAGTCAGTCAGGAGACCGTGGCTCTGCCCCTGGAGAAGCCTACCTCTGAGTCTCCGTTTCCCCACATGGCCGATTGGACCAGTGATGCTCTGGGTGTGATATCTTTCCGTTCTGTTGTAAATCTAGTTCTTGAATCATGTCCTGGTTGCAGCTTCCATTTTCCAGAAGTCAATGCATGCTGAGATGGTTTGGAGTACGAAATATTAGGAATCGATCCCTGTGTAAGGAAGGGGGAGAAAGCAGGGCTGAGCAAAGAAAGAAGTCAATTGGCATTAGAAGCCTGACAAAATATTGGCCAATAAAGGAGGCACAAGTTATCCCTTGGGCTTGCCCTGTAGCCATTGGACATGGCAGGGCACTTGTGTCTCCTATCCTCAATCAGCACATATGGCCAGATAGGAGCTGCGACCGCAGGTAAGATAGCCCTGCAGCCGAGGCCAACCCCCAAGGAGCAACAGGTTGAGGGACTTGCTGCAGCTGGGTAGCCATCCCTCCCTGCAGGGTTCTCTGGGCAGTGCATCTCCATGTGGACCTCAGGACCCTAACTACAATGCCTTTTTATTGCAGCCAGGAATGTCGATGAGTCAGGAAGACAATCTAACACAGGGTCCAGCAGAGGGGACTGGTGCCTGGGGCAACTCTGCTGCTCAATCCAGTTGACTGGTGCCAAGCCACACATGGTTCCGTAAACTCAAACAACCCTGAAAATATTGAGTTTTTTTTTAATAAAATTTCTGATTCTTAAGCCACCAGGCAGTAATAAGTGTAAGACATCTGAATGCTTGTGGGATGTGACGTTTGATCCGAAGGCTGACATTCATCCTGGTGGGTCTGGAGCCATCCTGCAGAGCTGGGGAGCTCTTGGGAGATGAGGTGGATGGGGCCCCAGAATAGGCCTACCTTCTCCTTACCCGGACCACCACCTGCAGGTGTTTCCTACTCACGTGCGATTGGAGCCCAACCTTGGGGGGCTTGCGTTGGAAATGAAAACAGTCTTAGAAGGGGAAGGCAACCCATGTCGTGTCCCCAGATGCCTGGCTTCTAAAACTCAGAGATCAGTGGCCTGTGCAAAATGAGGCCACGTCTGCTCCTGCACTCCTTAATTACACCTTCCGTGGAGCTGGGAGAGCTGGGATTGCAGGTGTTTGACGCAGCATAGAAGGTCCTGTCTACTCACCCTTGCTAACATAGCAGGCCAGGTTTTTAATTCCATGGGGTCAGGATACTAGTGGATGATTTCCCTGGTGAGTCCCGACAGGCAGACCTCTACTTGGTGAGAAGTAGGAACCTAGGGAACTGGAGGGGAAGTAAATGCAGCAAAGGTCTTCACAAAACCCAGTGCTGCCCTCCGAGCAGGGGCTTCCAAAGCTACAAAGGGCACTGAAAGTTGAGGGAGAGGAACACACCGGCCAAAGTACCAAGCTATGACGTCCTCACCTGCCTCCTTTAAACTCCCTCTTGGAAAAAGACTGATGAGTTCCCTGGCCCAGGGCTCCTGGGTGAGTCCAGGAGAAATCTCCCTCTGTGCACAGGAAGAGGGAGTGCCCAAGAGATGCTGGTTATTTGGGGAAGGTGAGCTTAGGTAGTGGGTGCAATATCTGGGAAATAATCTACATCAACCGTCACGACAACCTCTGGGATTAGGGACACACGGAGAACAATTTGGGCTTTATTGAAGCCTCTGAATTTCTGAGTGTGGATACTGCTTGAGAAGATGAGAGGGATGTTGTTTGGGAATCTACGTTGTGCAGTGTTTTGTTTCAATAGATGGAAGGGACAAAAATGGCATGTGCTATAAAAAACAATAACCCAATAACTATAACTAACAATAACCCAAACAATAACAATGACTAACAATAACCCAGAAACAGTAACTAAGGGGTAGATTGTTGCCCAACAAGCTACCCCTTAGTGGTACAAAACAATGAACACTTTAATTACTTCTGATTCTGTGGGTGAGCAGTTTGGTATGGGGGCTATTTTCTTTCTTTCTTCTTAAGAGCACAATTTTCCATATCTCTGGTTGTACACAGAGTCACACCGTTCGTGTCTTCATACATGTACTTAGGGTAATGGTGTCCATCTCATTCCACCATCTTTCTTACCCGCTAGTATGGGGGCTCTTTCTATAGTCATTTGGTCGGTGGGGTGGAACAGGGAGGTCTAAGATGGCTTCTTTGTGTATCTGGGGATTGGTTCTGGCTCTCAGCTGGGCCAGATTCGCCCTGTAAACCATCCTAGATTTTTTTTTCATGTGTTGCTTGTGTTTCAGAAGCATCATGAAAGAAGGCAAGCCCCAGTGCATACATTTCTGCTTAGACTATTATTGCTAATGTCCCATTGGCCAGAGCAAGTCACATGGGCGAGCCCAGGTTCAGTGTAGAAAGGGGTCTATATAAGGTCAAGAATACAGAGAGATATGATGTGGTGTCAAGGCCATTATCACGATGATCCAATACAATGTGTTCACATAGAAGTGGGGGCAATTCCTACTTCATTCATTTATTCATATTGAACCAGGTTCATTATCACTTAGGTGCCAGGCCCTCTTGGACACTGTCAAGCAAACCTCACATTCTTATGCTCATCACTTTTGCAACACAGCTGGGGGAGTCAATCGTCAATCAATGTACAAAATGAATACACAAAATAGAGTCAGATGGTGATAATATCTATAGAGACAAACAGAGCAGGAGGCAAAACAGGGAGTTTAGGATCCTTGGCTATGGGAAATACCAACACTGAGCCCAGCAGAGCATGTAATTAGCAAAAGACCAGGGCCCTGGGTGGTGGAATGCCTGACCCACAGGTGTTGAGTGTGGTTCTACGACAGGGCCTGAGGGCTGTGGTTCTATAGCCTTTTTGAGGGAGATTCTTGGTGGCCCAGAGGCCAGGGTGAAGCTGTACCTGGCCATATGAGCACATACGTAGAATCTGGTTTTGGGGAGAATTAACCTGAATTAAATCTTCCCCAGTGACATCAACAGGTCTGTGAGGGATAAAATACCTACTATCACCCCTTCTTCCCTGTACCCAAACTATAAGACCTAGGGTGTGGGAGAGGCAAGAAGAGATGTCTCTGAACTGGCCCTTGTTCTCCTCCCTACACAACTTGAACTAGACCTCAGGAGTGAGCAACAGGAACTTGGACTCAAGTTTCAGATTGAAGGGAAAAATACTTTGTAGGAGTGAACCTATATTGCTGAAACACTATTATGAGTAGCTAAAATTGGGTGAAATGTTGGAGAATTGAACCCAGGAATCACTGATGACTGAATTTAGAATGAAAAAGGCTCAATGTCCATGTAGTCTGTCTGTCCACCTGTTATCATAGAATTGCCAGGGACCTGAGGCCAATCCCTTCACGGGGGCACTGGATTCTCTCTCTTCTTGCCTCCTTAAGGACATCTCTCTACAAGTTCTCTCCTCTATCTCCTACTGTTCAAAATTTCCACTCGACTGGATCTTTATAGCTGCAAGCAATGCCATTATTTCTCCCCTTTTCAACTCTTTCAACCCATTTACCTTATTAGCTGCAGCCTCATTTCTCTGCTCACCTTGCAGTAAAAGCACTCAGACAGTTGTTGATATTTGCTGTTTTTAATTCCTTTGCTCTCATTTTCTCTTCAAGTTTAACACATATTAATCCTGCAGGTTCATGATATTTCCACACATGCATGATATATTCATGCACCAATCATCTCTATCCTCCCTTCTATCCTCACTTGCCCTCTCTCCCGCCCCCACCCGGTTTCCATTCCCTAATGATTTGTCTTCTACTTTGGGATCTATTTTTCTTTTCAGTTTCTACATATGAGAGAAAGTATATGATACTTGTATTTTTTAATATTTATTTTGTTTATTTATTTTTATGTGGTGCTGAGGATCAAATCCAGGGCCTCGCACGTGCTAGGTGAGCACTCTACCACTGAGCCACAACCCCAGCCCCTGATACTTGTATTTTTCTGACTTTGCCAAACATTTTCCTGCAAATGACATGATTTCATTCTTTTTGATGACTGAATAATAACCCACTGTATATAGATACCATATTTTCTTTATCTATTCTTCTGTTGGCAGTCACCTAGGCTGATTCCATATCTTGGCTATTGTGAATAGGGTCACAATAAACATGGGTGTGCAGGTATCTTCCTTTCCTCCAAATATATATTCAGGAATAGTGTAACTGGATCATATGGCAGTTCTATTTTTAGTTTCTTTTTTAGGAACCTTCATAATATTTTCCATGATGGCTCAATTAATTTACACTCACCAACAGTAGTGTAGAAAGTTTCCTTTTTATCCACAATCTCATCAGCATTTGCTATATTATTGGTATTATTATTATTAATGTTATTATTATTAATAGTCTGACTTGGATAAGATGAAATCTCCTGTAGTTTTGACTTGCATTTCCTTGATGGTTAAAGAAAGTGAACATTTTTTCATATATCTGTTATTTTATATATCTGTTTATTCAGACATTTTTCCATTTTTTGATTGGAAGACTTTTGTGGGTATGTGTGTTTTGTTCTTTAGTTTTCTGAATTCTTTACATATTCTGGATATTAATATATTAATCCTCTGCCAGATGAATACCTGGCAAAGACTTTCTCCCATTCTATTAAGTTGTTTCTTCACTTCTTGTTTCCTTTGCTGTATAGAAGTTTTTTTTTGTGTTTGTGTTTTTGTTTTTAACTTGATGTAACTTCATTTGTCAATTACTGCTTCTATAGTCTGGGCTATTAACGTTCTATTCAGGACATCATTGCCTGTGCTATTATTTTGAAAGCTTCACCTATATTTTCTTCTAGTAATCAAACTATAAGGTGTTACATTTTTGTACGGTATGAGTGACGGGCATCTGGTGTCAATCTTCTACATGTGGATTTCCAGTTTCCCTAGCACCATTTGTTGCAGAGACTGTCTTTTCTCCAACTTAAGCTTTTGGTACCTTTGTTGAAAATCAGTTGACTGTAGATGCATGGACTTATTTCTGGGTATTCTAATCTATTCCATTTAGTCTATGTTTATTTTTAAGCTGTTACCATGCCATTCTTGTTACTATGGCTCTGAAGTTTGTTTTTAAAATCAGGTTTTAGTGATGAGTCCACAATTGGTCTTTTTGATCAGAATTGTTTGGGCTCTTTAGGGTCTTCAACATGAATTTTAAGATTTATTTTGCTACTTCTATGAAAAAGTCATTGGTATATTGGT